GTAGTAAAAACCCCTGGCTGATCTAAAATTCTGCAGCCAGAGTACTGATGAAAATTAAAAAGAGAGGCTCAGGTTATTCTGAACTATCTCTGTAGTAGTAGGCTGTGATAGGCTTAGACTGCTGGAGGACATAGAGTACACTGTTTATCATTCTGCTTTATTATATCTCTATTCTCCAGTTTTTCTTATATTCTCTCTTCATACTTTTTACATGAAAACTGGCTCAGAGCTCATCTGTTTTAACTGTTTCTCACCTAGACAGAGCCACTTGTGGAGCTAGTTTACTCTTACCCCTTTTAACATAGAAAGAATTTATGGAGCAGAGCTTCCTTGTTTCTTTTGTATATCTGCTTGTCTCCCCTTGAACCCCTCGACAACATTGGCAGAAGGCCGCTAACAATGAGCGTGGTTCTGCTGGATGTTTCTATCTGTTAAAAAGGGAATTTTCACCAGTTTTCTCCTATTTCTGATCTTCAGTAAGGCACAAACAAATTTAGTTCCTGCCTTTGTTTGAGTGCTCCAGAATGGACATGGGAGTCTTCAGTAGATTATTATCTAAACCTAGTTTTTCACATTTGTAGTGACTACATTTGTTGTCAATTGTGGCAATTGTCCATTTTAAATTCCAGTATAAATTAGGCTACATATTTATATTGGTTGTTACTTTAAATCAATTGTCAATTTCATTAGGCTACACAATTATATATTGTGCAACTCTGCAATTGTAAATAAAATTTTTATTTGCTGACGACAGAACTATTGGTTAATAGACTTGCAGTTAGCATGTCGGTATCCAGGGGACACAGTTGGTGCAAGGGAACAATGAACAAATATAGAATCAGTCATTAACATAATCATGAAATTTCTATCATACATAGAGATAGTATTACTATAAAAGCTGCTGTGGTAGGTTGTCCTCAGACACCTCAAAGCCTTGATAATGTTTAAGCTTCTCCAAAGAATATAAGCTAAAAAAATAAAAGCTAAATGTACCCTATGATGCTCAAAGGAAAATGTAATAATTTGTATCCATCTCAACATATCTCAGATCTCTATTTTCAGTTTTTTATGGGTTTTTATGGGTTATTGTTTTTACCTTCTTATGCCAATCAAAACTTCTAATCAGGTTGAATTTCATTGTTTGTCAGCTAACAAATTCTGAAAAATGGTTTGACTTTAAGTTATTCCCTTGCTCATTTTCCATCTTGCAAACTCTTTAAAATGTTTAGTTACTCATCTGTTCACATGCCTTCATTTCCAGGGAGTGCTATAAAACGAACAGGATGACTACCACTGCTCATGCATCGCGCAGCAGGCGGAACACATAAACCAAATCCAAAGCACAGCGAGAAAACCCACAAGGACCCCAGTGGGGAGGAAAGCCTCACGTAGACTGGTGTAAATTAAACCGTGTTTACTTTCTCTGGAAGATGTGTCAACCTGAAAATTTTAAAGGGATCTTTTTCACAGTACTGTAATGTTTGTGTACAATTTCTATTGTAAAGCACAGTAAAATCATTTAATACGGGAGAAGCTAAAACTGAAAAAAAATTAAGATTCTTTTGAGTCCATATTTTTTTATAAGCCTAAAATAAAATAAAAAAAAAGATTTATCATCCAGTGATGTTGTGTGTTTATACACCAGGTAAACAGGAAGGGAGGATTTACAATGCTTGTTAAACAATGCTTGTTCAATCAAAAAATTAAGTAAAATGTAGATTACAGAGGATTTGAAGTTATATACTAAAGATCTAATTTAATGAATATAAAAAAAACTATGTTTATATATGTACCCTAGTGATTCAGTGTGATAAACCAAAAGACATGATTTCCACAGAGAGAAGATGCTGCTATATAAAAGGATTATTTTACTTTAAGTATGGACGTTGCAGTGAAACTAAATGTGTGGCTTAGTTGAAGATGGTAAATCGGCCATAAGCCAGAGACCTGCCCATGGTTAGATTTAGCCCAAATCCACAGAGCCAGCAACTTTTTTTATTTCCACTGGTCAAAAATGCCAACGGGCACCTTGCCAGCGATCAGCCAAACTGTAGCCATCTGTGAGAGCAAAGTCCTATGTTTGCAGCATCTCTGCTTTGCATGTGTAAGGATAAAAGGACACATCTTTCATTTTCATCCCCCTGTATTTTCACAAGAAACGCTCCAGTTTACAACATCCAGTCACGAAATACAAAGTAACAACAATAACATCATATTGTTTTGTTCCCTTTGGTTCTTTCTTGCTCTGTAAGCAAAGTCTCCCAAGTTTACAAAGAAAAGAACACGAGAAATTAAGGTGGAGGACCTCCCAGCAGATGCATTGAATGGCAACATGCTATTTTGCGGCTTGAGGTTTTCCCCAAAGCTGTAAGGTAAGGTGAATGATGGTTCAATAAAAGCAGATAATAGCACTTTTTTAAGCCTGTTTGATGTGTGACCATTGGATAAACACTGAATTGGGAAAAGCTTTCACATTTATCAGAGAAAGGAGCCCAAACACAAGGAAGTATACTGCATAGAGGAAAGAAAAGGCATTAATTAATTTGTTCCTGTTGCCTGAAGTTCATTCAAAATACTCTCAAAGTTGTGATAGAAGACATCTGGGCATAATGGTTTAGATTAAGGAAAACACAGTCAGGCCACACAGACTGAAGAAGCCAGTGTCACTGGCAGCAAGCCTTACAGGAAGGCGGCAGAGGACCCACGGGGAGTCAAAGTTATGGAAAGAAAGAGAAATTAAAACTAACAAATGCGCACTTAACCTACAAATGGAAAATAGACCTAACAATGTTGGAGTCAAACTGTGCTGCTCTTAATATGCTATAAAAAGTCTTTTAACCAACGACTCTGCAGACTCCAAAATAAATTGTCTCTGGAGTAAGGACACGTGTTCCTTCAAGGATGTTAATGACAGTGTCAGGGGTGTGCAAATAAACCACGGTAATTCGTTTTGATTTGACTTCCTTTCCAGATGCAGTACCCAGACCTTCTCTTCACGCTGCTGTGGAGTGCACAGCATCTACAGCCCACTGGGAGCAGAGGGGAGATCGAATTACAGAGCGATGCCATTCGATCTCGGTGGAGGCATGTGACACCAGACTGTGCTTTAATATATACTAACCCCTCCCCACTGAGCTCAGCATCACTCACTGTGCTTTCACGGAGTAAAAGTTTATATATTAGTCTTATAAATAGATCTTCACTGAAAGGTAGCAGTGAGATATATCTTAGTTTGGAGTCAAATCAATTTGGTGTGTTACTGATTGTCAACTGCTAGGGGAAACGTCACTGGAATTTATTCAGAGATAAAACAGCAACAGGGGCTGAGTACTTCTGCATGGCAAACTTTTTTGATTTTTTTTTTTTTTTTTGGAAAAATCTAACAATTTGTGTATTTTTTTTCATCCCGGTCCACATGCTTTAATTTGTGGCAGTCAAGTACACAAATGCTTTACAAAACATGGTTTGGTTGTAGAATGACATGCGTTCATAAAGTTAAAGGTGTGTGGATACCTCTGCAATATGCTGAACATTCACCTTTCATATAGAGCTTTGTAAAACACTAAACCCTTCAGGTGAATGTGCAAGTTATCAATAAGATAAAAATCTGAACCAGGGCAGGAGAGGCAGCACAAGAAAGTGACGATGGAATCTGCAGAATTCAGGCAAGGAGAGAGATATGACAGCAAGGCCGATGTGACGAAAGACAAATCTTTTATTAGTGCCTGCCTATCTAATGAGTCATTCCTAAGCTACCAGGTGGGGGTGACCCTCAAAACACCCATTGCATACCCTCCTATTCTTTCCTCCTTTTCTTCGCAGACACTCTTTCACCCCCGCAGCAGGGTTTCCCTCACACTTGCCAGTGCTGACACAGATACGTAGTGGAGCGGAGAACAGAAGAAAAAGTAGAAATCCATTCAGCAGGCCAGACAAAAGCCTGACACAGATATAAACTAGGTGATCAACGACTGAAATGGGACTGCTTGAGGTGGTTGCTGTTGTGGTAACGTTTCATAAATCTATAGTTTTGTTTTTTTGTCTGCAGCATTATTCTTGTGACTGACTGATCTCTTTGTAAAGAGATGAATCCAGGCCGCACCACATGTGTTGCTTGGCAGATGTTTGAGCTAAACAGCTTTCCTTACTACAGTAAAATGTTCAAATACTGCAAATGCAGAGCCAGATGCCTTAAGAGTAAGACTTTAACTCTTGGCATATAGTCTTAGCTATCACATGTGAGCACGTATGGTATACTTCAGTTTAATGTTAAGATTTTTATACACTCATCCATAAAAGCACAGGTTCACTCTGCCAAGTTCTTTTGAGTTTTATGGTGCTGAAAATGAAAAAGAAAATGTTCCTTTTGTCTCCTACTATTACATTGTTTTTTTATGATTTGAAAAGTGTTTGAAGAAACAAAACACCATAACCTACTCTAATTTTCTCTCACTTTTCTTGCCCTCTATACCCCTGACTTTCCTCCGCTCCCCCTTTTTTTTGAGAACCTGACACGTGGGGAACTGCACCATTGCAAACTCCATCCAATAAACACAGCTGAGTCGAGACCACATCTATTTCAGATTGAACTCTATGAATAGGAAGCAAACCCATGTGTCACAGTACACCACCTTATTTCCATACCGGCCACCACGGTGACTGACTTCCCTTAATAGAAAAGAGATGTTTAAACACCTGGTTTTTGCACAAATGGGATCTATTTCAGCCTTCACCCAGTTCCTTTAACATTTTCACATTGTTAGGGAGACATGGAGTTCTTTTAGTCCTATTATACACATTTTCCACCGAAGCAGCCAATTGTTTTTAAATTGGACTTGCCTTGTTTTACCACATTTGAACAAGAACCAAGATATCTCAAATACAGTGTCTTGCAAACGTAAATTTAGTAATACTATGCATTTGCATCAAACCCTGCAAACCTTTACATCTTGTCATGCAACAAATACAAACTAAAGGTACATTTCTGCGAGCTGTAAGGAATTTCTTTTAAATTATTTTAACAGATAGGTGCAATGTTCCTTTGTGTTTGGCCCCCTTTATTTTTATAAAGCCCTCTCAACAAACAGATTCCCCTAAGCAAGACATCAAATTAGCAGCACAGTAAACAGATCTGGAGAAAAATAAAAGGTATAGTGAAGTTCAAAACAGTGTAAGTGCTTCAGCTTCAGTCTGTTATACTAGCTGTGCACTCCTCAGTTTTTTCTTTTATTGAACAGTGACAAAGGCTACGTTCACACTGCAGCCTGAAGTGACCCAAATCCAATTTTTTTGCCCATATGCGACCTGGATCTGATCTTTTCATAGCAGTCTGAACAACACAGATCCTATTTTTTCCAATCCGACCCAGGTCACTTGGCTATGTGGTCCTGAATCCGATATGAATCTGATCTTTTCAAATGTGACCTGTGTGTGAACGGCCAGGTCGGCAAGAAAAACAATAACCATGGCAGATGATGATGCGGCAAGCAGTATTTGTGTTTAAACATATTGAAAAGAATGAGCTTTTATGGTTGGAAAAGATCGCCAGATACACGCCGGCACTACCATCCATATTTATTTCCTTAAACATGGAGCACGCTGCCCTGTGACGTCATCGTGTCCTCTACTGCGCATGCGGGACTTGCGTTCTATGAATGCAGTTCACACAGAAGATCACATACAAATCGCATTTATTTGGAAATGTGAACGGCAACGTAAAAAAAACTGATTTCACAAAAAAATCGGAATTGAGCATCAAGGCCTGCAGTGTGAACGTAGCCAAAAAGAATGATAGTGAATAAAACAGGAATGAGACATTTGCAATTTGCTGCAAATAATGTAGAGGATATATCAGAGTATACTCTGGTCAAATTACTCCCAAGTGGAAGGTGTTGTCTTACACACATAACATACATATGTCTCGAAAACTATCTCCAACTACACATCACTCAGAAAAAACAAGTTCCCATAAAAGCTATTGTATAGTATCATCGAGGTGGCCCAATCTGATGGCAATATGGCAAGAAGCCCTGGTCAAGGCCGAAGGAGTGGCGCAAAGCCAGAGGCAGAGGCGACCCTATCAGTGGATCCTTAAGTCAGCTATGGGAATGTGGAATGTCACCTCGCTGGCGGGGAAAGAGCCTGAGCTTGTGCCAGAGGAAGAGCAGTAATGGCAAGAAATAGTCAGACATGCCTTCACACATTGCCTGGGCTCTGGAACCAAGCTTCTTGAAAGAGGCTGGAATCTATTCTACTCTTGAGTGGCCCGCAGGGAGAGGTGGTGGGCGGGGTTGGGTCTGCTTGTCTCCCCCCAGCTCAACCGTCTTGTGTTGGTTTACCCTGGTGGATGAGAGGGGTGCATCCCTTTGCCTTATGACAGGGGGGAGGTCTCAGACTGTTGTTTGAGCCTATGGATCAAAAGGTAGTACGGAGTACCAGGCCTTCTTAGTTTCCCAGGGGGGATGCTGGATACTGCCCATCCTGGGGATTTCATAATTTTGGTGGGGGACTTTAAAACCCATGTGGGGAAAAAACAGTGATAGCTGAAGGGGCATGATCAGAATGAACTGACCCCCAGCTCCTGAGTAGTGTTTCCTTTTTCGACTTCTGTGCAAGTTACGGATTGTGCATAATCAACATCATGTTCGAGCATGAGGATGTCAAGTGGTGCACTTGGCACCAGGAAACCCTAGGCCTGAGGTTAATGATCAACTTTTTTGTAGTATCATTTAACCGTTGGCAGCATGTCTTGGACACTCAGGTGAAGAGAGGGGAGGAGCTGTCCATTGATGACCCCCTGTTGGTGAGTTGGACACTGGAAGAAGAGGAAGCCCGACCGACTTGGCAGGCCCAAGTAAGTACTGAGGGTCTGCTGGGAACTTGGTGGTGCACTTAGTCAGGGACATGCTCAATCCAAGATTCCATGGAAGCTGGAGACATGGGGTCTGAGAGGGCCATGTTCTCTGCCACCATTGTCGATGCAGTCGATCCCAGTTGTGGATGTAAGATCTGCAGTGCAAACACTTCAGGAGTAAGTAGTAGAGGGCCCTTTACTAGGGGCCATCCAGTCTATGTACAAGTGAAGCAGGAGTCTTGTTCCCATTGCCGGCATTAAGTTGCACCTGTTGCCGATGCACATTGCTCTCTGTCTTTGGTCCTGTTCATAACTTGTCTGGACAGGATTTCTAGATGCAACTGAGGGCTAGGGGGATCTGGTACAAGGACTGGCAGATCTCATTCCTGCTTTTTACAGATGATGTGGTTCTGCTGGTTATCTTCTGCCAAGATCTAAAGCATGCACTGTGGATGTTTGTAGCTGAGTATGAAGTAGCATGGATGAGAATCGGCTCCTCAAAGTCCAAGACCATGGTTCGACTAGAAAAAGGTGGCTGGTCCCTTTAGGTTGGGTAAGAGTTCTGGCCTCCATGTGGAGTTCAAGTACCTTGGGGTGGGAGATTGATATACGGATCGTGTGGCTGCTGCTATCATGTGGATGCTGAACGGTCTGTCATGGTGAAGAGAGAGCTGATCATAAAAGGCAAATTTTTAGATTTACCGGTCAGTCTACTTTCCAACCTTACCTATGGTCATGAAATCTGAAATATGACCAAAAGAACAAGATCCCGGATACAAGCGGCTGAAATTAGCTTTCTCTGCATCGTGGCAGAGCACTTCCTTTGAGATAGGGTGAATAGCTCTGTCATTCTTGAGAGGCTCAGAGTAGAGCCGGTCTAGGTACCATATCTGCTTAGGTGGTCAGATCAGCTCGGGGCCTCCTTATGATGTAATTATACCACAACATCATTACCTAAATTTGCTATCATTTTACATTTCATTGGCGATCTAAAGTAGCCCGAAAGTAGAAAACAATCATTGTCGGTCTTGAAAGAAAGTACTGCTTTTTAAGAAAGACTGAGTTCTGCCATTTCACAAGGTGACAAAAAAGTCTCAGCTTATTTTTATTCTTTTTATTAATGAATTACAGGGATGTCCCGGTGCTTTTACTTCCCGATACAATACATGTTATTGCAGCTTTGGGTATTAGCTAATATGAATATTGACCCAATATGATATCATGAATCATACACACTTTGGTACCTATATTGTAGCGGTGAATGGTAGAAAAGGGTTCATTAGTGATATTACTCAAATATCTCAAACTCAAACGGTAGTCAACAACTAAAGGTATGAAAAAAGTGACACATTTATCATTAAACAATAAGTACAATAAGTATAACTTTAATCAGAAGCAGATTGTTTCATGTCAATATGTGAGATTTTTGATGCAGGCAGATATTATGTTTTCTGTTTTATATATATATATATATATATATATATATATATATATATATA